CCATTCCAGTAAACTAAACCATTCCTAAGCACTGCAGACGTCCAGTCAGTTATGTTTAAGAGCCCCATCGATAACAACAGAGCAGCCTGGTTAACAGTAGCTAAGGAACCTTGGCTACACAGCTTGAATCTAAGGAGGAAAGAGATTATCCACAATTAATGATGGTGAATCTGCCAATTTCAATTTCTCTGTGTTTCTTGGTTTCCCAATATTAAGTGGATTTCTTCACATTTTCACAACTGTTTTAAAACAAGCAAACAAAAGGTCTTCGTGAAAATTCATCAGCATTTTGGTACAGATTTATCCTAACATATACCTCCTTGAATGCATTTTTTCCTAATGCACACTTTTTCTTTATTTTTTTTGCAAAGCGATCTCCCCTAATGTAACACATTTTGCTTTGTTAATTTCACTACTACATGCATTTTTCTGCATCCATTATTTGGCTGGAGAACTGCATCACAAAATTTACAGTTCAAAGCATGGTTGAGTTTTAGTCTGCACATTGTTTCAGAAAGTGTGAATTAGCTAGGTTCACCTTTAAATCCTAACTGAATCAAATCAATGAATCAGCTACATTAGTCAAAAAACAGCATTTTGAATATGTTATAAACACGCAATACTAGATGGTGCTGGAGAGGAAAACAAATTTCTTTGCCATTTTCCATAGCAATTTTTTTTCTTTTTTCTTTTGAAGGAATGGGTTTCCCAAAACCCTAAAACTGACTGTGCAGGCAGTTTTTAAACTGCACCAAAATCCCCATTTCTCCTTAGCTAAAATGCATAAACTTTAGCCGTTGAGCAAATGCAAAACAAGAACACAGCTCTCTCCCTTATCAGTTTGACGGCAAGACTGGCCTTGACTTTACCAGTAGAACAGACACAGACATATCTTATGTCCTGGCCACAAATGACGCAGAGACCCAAGTCTGGGACTAACACCAGAGCATGTTCTCGGAAGTAGTGACCTCTTACTCCAAGATAGGAGTAGGAACAGGAATATCCTTTTATGGTCAGAAGTACAGGAAGGAAGATCCTTTTATGGTTGAGAGTACCAGAGCAGGAACATATGTGATGTCAACCTGTGTACGTACGCTGACGTGGTTGGACTCCTAGGGGAGGAGTGAGAGGGTGCCTGGAGGATATATAAACTGCATGAAACCTGTCATTTCTTTGGACTTGCTGGGGACTAATCACGCAAGTGCCTTCTGCTATCCGGAGAGCAGAATAAACTCTTTCTTTGAACCAACCTCGGTGTCATTTTGACTTCCTTCCTCCTGTCCCGGAGCAACGCAGACCCAATCGGTGAACTCCAATAAGGCTACACTTTTTGTGATGATTTAATTTCTGACTTCTTTATAGAATTTTATCCACCCCAGATCCATCCAAGATCTCTTGCCTATAAACATACCGTCATAGAAAGATGGGAAACATTAACAAGGACCAAAATGGATGATACATTAAATATGTGACTGCATTTAACGTGCCTGGCTTCTTAAATTTTTAAAAAAGTAGCGCTCTCTCTCTCTATCTATCTCTCTCTCTCTTTGTGTGTGTGTGTGTGTGTGTGTGTGTCTAGGCTGATAAAGCTCAGGATTAATCCTCCCCCCTTTTCTTGTCACAGTCCTGACAAAAATTGCCCCTCAAACTGCTATTTCATCCTTCCAGGGAGCTCCCAATTGGCATTTTGTCCCTCATTGAGCTGCTGATGTAGTAACAAGTATCTGTAAAATTGTGACAAAGGCTTCCTATTTGGTATGCCCTGCTGCTACTAGATTTGCTAATCATTTCAGATGAACAGATTATAAGGCCATTTTCCACTTTCTCTTTTCCTGATATTGCTAGAACATCTTGCAGAAGGCCTTTTTAACCAATTTGGTTGACATGATGAGAAGGCTGGCTTCAAATTGCCAGTTTCCATTTTGTTCAAATTTAGTTTCTTACTGATGGATATCCCTTCTGGCAAGGTCAGACAATGTGCATTTAAAATAGGCTGCTATGGAATTTTGAGAACATTGCTAGTGAAACACTTGAAAGTGCCGTGTATAAAAATTGATTCAGATATTCAGCTGGCAAAATATTCCCGTTCTTTCCATAGATGTGAAACAAAAGAACACGAGGACAGGAATGGTCAAGAATGTCATCGACCTTAATTTTCCACGCTCTTATTTGAACATATGAATAGAAGACTCTTACGCTCTGCTCCAACTATCTCTTGTGGACTCCAGTGCATACAACACAAAAAAACAGCTCCCTCGCCTGCTAGGGCTTCCATGTTCACTTCAATGGAGGAAGAAAAGCAGAATGCAGAAAAGCACATGCGCACATTTCACATGCGCAGGCGTTCCACATGCTACATTTCACAGACCGTATGGGACTCTAGGTTGCAATACAAGTGCTCATTTTATTTGCAAATGTCAACATTAAAAGCATTGGGCATAACCTTATTCTTCTGGCCAGCCCTGGGTTTTCATAATAGGCTGGTGTACAAAGTCTTGGTCAGAGTTCTTCAATGCTATTCAACAACAGTAGCAACAAATGCTGCTTGCTTTCAAATTCCATCCACTATTAAGTGCTTCCAAGCTTGGGAGCAAACAGGGGGGTCGTGGAAGCTCCTTAATGAATTTCAGAAATGGGTAGGGTACCCCCTTAGCCTGTTTAATTCATGTGGGAATCTATGCCCCTTTGTTATAGGTCACAGCTCTGAGTAGAGACATCTTCAGGCTCTATGGAAACATATTTTCATTTACCCTCTGTGAAGAGCTTGGAAAGTTCATTTAAAATAGGAACTCCATCTCATTCAAGCTCAACATGTCCACAAAGGAACTAATTCCAGATCATGTCCATATAGGAGCCAACTTCTAGAGTCTGAGGTCCATATGCCCCCCCCCTAAAATATTTGAGGAGGTCGGGGGGCCCAAAAGTTGATGGGCATTGCCATTCAAATATGTGCTACGTCTTGTGATTGATTATATGGGGAAGGGCTTACCTGCCTCCCCCCATATTTTGTTGAAGTTGTTACCTCAATGTCCACCACAAACTAGTTCAGTTTATGTTCAATTCACAGTTCACGTCAAGTTCACCTAAATGATTCTTAGTGAAGTGTTTTCAGCATTCAGAATGTTACAAGCTGCTGTGCTGAAGCATAAACTATAGCTAAGATGACTAAGAAAACATCAACATACACAGGGAGAAGTATGTGGCTTGTTTAATGTACTTTCCCCAACAATTATTTTCTTTAAGCTTAAAGGATCTAAAGAGCAAAAAACAGACGTAAGAGAATGCACTTGAAGTTGAACTAGAAATCGTAACCAAGTGCTGCCGCCAAATTAATGTAATTCACATTCACCCAGCAATAACATTCAGGTGTAGTTCAGAGATTTTTTAACTTCTTTAAACTGAAATAGGTGATTCCAAGTACTGCACCTGCAACACAGAATGTGGCAGAGTGTAACCAGCAGGTAAAGGTAAAGGTAAAGGTAAAGGGACCCCTGACCATTAGGTCCAGTCGTGGCCGACTGCGGTTGCGGCGCTCATCTCGCTTTATTGGCCGAGGGAGCCGGCGTACAGCTTCCGGGTCATGTGGCCAGCATGACTAAGCGGCTTCTGGTGAACCAGAACAGCGCACGGAAACGCCGTTTACCTTCCCACCGGAGCGGTTCCTATTTATCTACTTGCACTTTGACATGCTTTCAAACTGCTAGGTGGGCAGGAGCAGGGACTGAGCAATGGGAGCTCACCCCGTCGCGGGGATTCGAACCGCCGGCTTTCTGATCAGCAAGTCCTAGGCTCTGTGGTTTAACCCACAGCATCACTGTACCCATTATCAAAATCCTGAAGTACAGCACAGTTGCTAGCCCCAAAGAACGATAGAGAAACAAAACAAAACAAAACAAAAGGATGTGAAGGTCAACTTCACATTATGGAAGAAGATGCAGAGCAGAAAATAAATGTATATATTGGCCATCTAAAGTGGGGGGTGGGGGAACTGCCCTCCTGAAGATAAACAAGACACATGTCTGACAGACATCCACAGACCCATTGCTAGCCAGGTTCTTAGTAAAACATGCCTTTGCACATGTGTAAATTACTCTCCTTAGGGATGAGAGACACACTCACAGCTCCAGTAGTCAACCATTGATATAGATGAAGCAGATTGAATGTTGTTTCCCAGCAGGGTGTGAAGATGTGTTTTGCACAAATTGTGAAGGAGTGGGGGAAATGGCACTGACTTCTCAGCAAATGTGCATTTACTCAACCTTTGTCCCGCTGAAGACAGTGGGACTTATTTCTGAATTTTCGCGCTTAAGGCAGGATGCTTAGGATTGTTGCACATTCAGCTGATTTCTGTACTAGACTGTACTAGACAGTCTAGATATGTACTAGACTGGTGAGAGTCTAGTACATATTTAAGTCTCTCCTTAACATCTTTAGGGCTTGAAGTAATTTGCCTTAATCCTGCTAGCATGGGTGTAACCAGATTTACGTCAGAGGGGGCTCCAGAACCAATCAATCTGTGATGCAATCGGTCAGTTAGTTAAGCATTTTTATTTATTTGATTGATTGGGGGGGCCGCCCCCTGCCCGTGACTATGTGCATGCCTGCTATATTCACACAGAAACTGACTTCTGCGATAAGCCTGGCTGCAGGAGGAATCCTACCTGAGAATAAACGCTGCATGAATGATTTGCAGCTTGATCCACTGGTCAGGGCTGTATATGCGTAGCCTTGGCTAGAGATGTTGAATAGCATCTTTCAGCTGTTTAGGAGGGGGGGAGAGAGGGGGCGGGGGAGGGAGAGAAAGAGTAGGGGGCTGGCTGTGCATTCATAAACACACATACAGGCTTACATGGGACAGTGCCTTATACCAAGCAGACCATTGGTTCATCTATCTCACTACTGACTGCACTGACAGTTTTGACTGTGTTATGCCTGATTTTGTAAGAAAACTAGAAAAGGGAAACCTAGGATAGCAATTTTACCATTTAAAAAAAACCCAGTATAATTATCTGTATTTATTATCCAACTCAAATCATGAGATACAGCAAGGAAAAAACATGTTGAACTGTATATTATAAATATTTAAATATTATTTCCATCTTCTGGCTTTATTACCTGCCACAAAAAGAATATTGTAGTTAATGTAAAACACAGATATACCCTAACCCCTAAGTTGTTTTTTTAAAAAATATTCACCAGTAATGCAAAAATTCTGTCCATACAAACATCAGCTCCAAACATTCCAGTTATACATTAATACTAGCTTCTTTTTATTTATTTTAAAAAGAGGTTTAACATATATCCTTAAAATGTTTGGCAGCAACCTTTGCAATGTACAAAACATCTGTATTACACTGATTAACACTGAACTAGAAAGTGCATTTATTCACCACAACCAGAGCAGCCTAGCTTGTCAGAAAAGTGATGGTCGAGAGAAATGCTGTGCAATATAGCAAAGCAAGTAAAGGATTTCATTCACAAAAGGATCATATCCTAACCCCATGGGAGTCAATAGGACAGTTGTCTTTTGATGTAAATGGGCTTTAATGGAAAGAGCCCCATTGATTCCAGCTACTGATGAGACAAGCTAGCATTGTTCCAGTCCCAACATAAGGAATAGTTTCTATATTCTGTATTCTGAGGCAAGATCTACATGCTGTGGGCTGCTGTACACATGCCTGTTAATCACTTGATCAAATGATGCCTCACAGATGTGAATGTGCTAGCACAGATCAAAAGCCAGCGACACAACTTTCACATCATTGCCTAAAGTGCAATGCTTCTCAGATGATGTCCAGCTAGGTGAATGAAGTATGATAAGCCTTGGGCTCACACACTCCTCCCGCTTTGCTTCTTTTGTGGCCATAATATTAGTTTTAAACAAACCACAGTCTCCCATTATGTAGAAACTTGGGGAACTGTGATTTGTTTAAACTCCAATAAGTTCCAAAAACAAAATGAAAGCTGGGAGGAAACTGTGGTTTCTAATCCTGGTTTATTTCCTAACTGTAGTTTAAACAAACCATAGTTTCTGCATAATGGGAATCTGTGTTTTGTTTTAAAACAGGAGTAGGCGCGTCCACAATCTCCTCCTTGGAACAACAAAAGACGAGGGTTTCCCATTACATCTGAAACAGGTCTGAGTCGATCGACATATCAAGCTGTCAGAAAGAAACCACTGAGGAATCAAGTGACGCATGTGTGTGTGCAGTGACAAAGACGACAGGCACAATTCGAGGTCTTCTTGATATAAACCCAACACTTCCATCCTTTGCTTCAGCGAGTAGCCTAGTCAGGAACCTGCAGACTAACGTATTTGTTCACAGTAACTCAATAGCATCAGTTATTCCGTTTAAATAGCCCTCAAGCATTCTGCATATAGGGACCTTTGATGTATTTATATTGTGTTCTTGCACTGAACACAAAAGGTGTACATTTTGCCTTCCTGAAATACTGAGCTCTAGATAATTAATATCACTGGTATTATTGAGTCAATGGTTTTTTGATGTTTAGCAGAACATAAATAGGTACATAGATATTGAATCATGGGGAAATGAAAAGGAACAGAGTTAATCACTCAAATTGATATATATATATTTAAGGATTCAACAAATCCATGAGGCCTAGGTGAATCGAAGGACATTAGTGATAATTAACTCTTTTTCAGAATATATTACTGAGTGTCAGATATTGGGGACGAGCAAGCAAGAGCTATTGCCTTTGTAGCTAGCCAGGGACATTTGGTTGGCTACTGTTTGAAACTGATTGACCTTTGGTCTGATCAGGAATGAATCTTCTTATGCTATATTCAGGACTATGTATATTTTTATACATTTGACGTCACTGTGCAAGGGTGGGATCTGGCATCTTGTTGAGAAGTCAGAATTCTTCAAATTGTTTTTAAATATATATATTTCTAATCTTTTTTACCACTGACATGTTTGGAAAAGATGTGGGGAATGCCTGCTATAAAATTTAATTTGTCAAAATTGGGTCTGAGCAGGACTTCAAGTGGTCAGGAATACACACAGGCTTTATTAATCTATGTATAGGTGTCTGTTTATGTACACAGAGTACCCACAGCCCTGTTGAATAAATGGAATATTCATGCAAGCAAGACTCTCCCTCTACTCTGTTAGATCACCGCAAAGATAAAACAGTTTATGGCACTTTAAAGAATATCCAATTATGCTCATGTAAGGTGCTACAAAGTAGTTCTAAATGCACTGTTTCCTGTCCCAAATGCACAGTACACGGTGTTCTCACTAATACTGTAAGATCACCACAATGTAACAAAGGTACACAACACATGCGCACAAGAAAGATTTTCATTCCCAGATGGAAAACCAAGATGCAAGTTCCAACAGTGTTGAATTATGGCAAAATAAGCAGCACAGTAGTAAAACTGTAATTAGATCTCTATTCAGAAAGTACTAAAAGGGGCTCTTTCCTAATAAATACATGCATATTTTTAAAAAATAGAAAAAATGATGTACATCTCTTCTGGAATTTTCTCACTTGAAGTCATACTCAGATCTGCACAAATCCAGGGTATATGTCAGCATGAAGTAGCTTTTGCACAATTCATTTATTGTATTCCTATTCGTTTCTTATATTGCAAACGTGAATATCTCGCAGGGTATTTATTTGCCTTTTATTTTGATCGAAGACCATGCACTGCACCTTACAAGTGTCAAGACAATCCAACTCTGCAATTTTAGATCCATTAATTCAGCAAAGTAGAAATTATTCCCATTCCTCTTCTGATATTTGCATTTAAACATGACTTATGCAATAATATTTTTAAACAGCTATTGAATAGCTAGAGTGCATTTATCATAACTAACAGGGAACACCTCAAAGCATTCATATAGTCTTAAAACAAAAGTTCATGCTAGTAAATTGCTCATGGCTGTTGATGCTGTTAATTCCTGCAGGGCCAAATGCTCTTCATGATTACACAACAAGCAAAATGCCTGCGAATATGATGAGCAAAAGAGCCAGAGATATTTGTATATTGCAGGTTCTACTGGTGGCATGCAGAGACACGTATTTCCTCAAATGGGGAGTCTCACTCAGCACAACTTTGGCAACCCAGTGTTTGGGCCAGAGAGCATGTTTGGCCACCACTGCATATCCTCGAGATGGGAGCAAAATCTGCCCTTTCTCTTGGATCAGCAGCTCTGTATTTTACCCAACAGCTTTGCCAATTTGGGCCAGTTTTCTTTGTACTTAATGGGAGTAGCTGAAATTGGACCAGGTCCTATTTACTTTAGGTTTCCGGCGTTCATCACACTAGAGCGTGGCAAACAGATGGAACCTAAAAACTGATTTTCATTACATATGGCTACAAATGTAGTACATCTTTGTGCAATGCCACATAATTTGGCTCTCAGTGCAATCGGCCCCATCTGTCCAAGTCCAGAGCTCTGCGTAATATGACGGCTATTCACTTAAATCCAGGGATTCTGATCTGCATGTAGGATCTCTTATGTGCCCATGATGCATCCCCAAACACCAGGAAGAATGAGAAACTCCTCTTTGCACGGAGCTTTGTACCAAAATCCTATGGAGCTTTGGATCATGGTCACTATTGCTTAATTGGATTGTACAACCAATACTTGCTTGCATGCATGATACTCATATAGACATGTGCAAACTCAGGTACGCAAGGACATTTTGTGGTATTTCTTTGGGATAAAAGGATACTATCACTCATCACACAGTGAAAGTAACATGGAAGAACAACTTCCCCCCCTTTTCTTTTCAGTGCAAAATCTCCTAAAGCCTTTTACAGTGCGGGAATCCAAAGGAGCAGTTTGGCTGATCTGTGCTGTCACATGATAAACAGGAAGACTGGTGGAATTTGGTTCAAACGGGACTGAGCGACGTTGTGTTTTGCGGCTGCCAATTTGATATTGTTTCAGGACCCAAAGCTTGAGGGGGATCGGGAGATAATAGTTTTCTAGTTGAAGAGTACCATGTGACACAATCCACAATCCAACCAGATTGAGGATCCATGAATATGAGTTACATTTCAGTAGGTATCTAAAGCAGCAATTTCCCAAACGTTCCAACTTAAGGGAACACTTTTCACATTGATTGCTCTGCCTAGGAACCCTTGTGCATTTGCCAGAGTTCTTGTAAAAGAGTCGGGTATTCTAGGCTGCACATTTCATTTGGAGTGTTGGCTAGGTTTCCTGGGGCTCACTCCTGTCCTGTGTGAACGGTGAGAGTGCCTCTTAGGACACAGCCCAGTGCTCCCCACAGCTGCCCTTTACAGGTGAAGATTGGTAGCTGCAGGCAAGCTGCCATTAAGGGATGGGTGTCTACCGTTACTATTGCATCTTCTCATTGAGGAACCCCTGACAGGCATCTCAGGAATCCCAAGGTTCCTGAAAACATGGTCTGAAAACCACTAGCCTAAAGGAATGGTTCTTTAGAAACAGAGAACAAATGGTCCTTAGTGGTGGTGCAAACATCTATGCCACATTATACCTCAGTTCAGCAGGATTCAGCAAATGAACACGAGCTGTATAAATTTGTTCTTGCAGTAGTTAATGAGATTCAGACTAAAGAAAAAAGATCTTCCAGTCAAAGATGGAGAGTCTTAGTTCACAATTTCGGCATGAGCTTATCACTGTCATACTGTATTGGATGAGTCTACATGGAAGTCAGTTAACAGTGTTGGTCAGTTTCTCCTCTCGGGGTGGAAAAAGTCAAGTGTCTTCACAAGTCACTCTCTTGACTGATAAAATAAAATATATCCCGATTCTGAATTTTTAGATATATCAGAAGTCAGACCATAAAATTCTTCAATAGCCTGCGCATCGATTTTCTGCAAAGGTAAACCAATCAAAATGTTAACGGAGAAAAATTAAGGAAATGGATGTAACAATATCAAAACAAATAGGCTTTGCCCAAGGGAAAATTTTGTTAGAAATTTAGACAAGGTGGCAAAATAGTTGTCCAGCTCCTTCTAAACTCTCAATTTTTGCAACACTTAGAGATAAGCTTACCTTTAAAATGCACAGAGGCTGGCAAGTTACTGCAATAGCTGCAGACAGCTGAGATCTTTCTCCTGTTTGTGGTTGGAGTGACTTGCAATACAAACTTTTTGTGGGGCATATTTATTTTGCATTGTCCAAGTGAGAAAGAACATCAATTAACTTTATTCCATCCAAGTCCCCTCTATCTTCATATATAAACCTTTTGTTCAACTTATTGCTGACTACAATTTCTTTGGTGAGCAAGTGCCTCTAATCCTTTCACCAAGACAATGAGCAGGTAGGCTATGTGATACAACTGGGTATGCAAACATAAACCAGCCAAGTACAGATAGCTAAAGGCCTAGGTAATCCTAGCTGCCTTCAGGTTACAGCTACTTGGTTCAAATATATTTTGCATTTTGTCACAGCAGGGCCCTTCTGTATCAACTGTCATTTTTATTTTTCAAATCTATGATGTGCCCTTTACAGTGGTGCCCCGCAAGACGAATGCCTCGCAAGATGGAAAACCCGCTAGATGAAAGGGTTTTCCGTTTTTGAGTTGCTTCGCAAGACGAATTTCCTTATGGGCTTGCTTCGCAAGACGAAAATGTCTTGCGAGTCTTGCCATTTTTTTTCGCTTCCCCCCCCTTTTTTCTAAGCCGCTAAGCCGCTAATAGCCTTTTAGCAGCTCAGCCGCTAAGCCTTTAATAGCCGCTAATCCGCTAAACCGCTAATAGCGCTAATCCGCTAAGCCGCTAATGGGGTTGCTTCGCAAGACGAAAAAACCGCTAGACGAAGAGAATCGCGGAACGGATTCTTTTCGTCTTGCGAGGCACCACTGTATTCCTAAGTTTGTGGGAGATTTTATTTATTTATTTATTCAACCCCTCCATATAAAATAATAGGCTTGTGTACAGCAAAATACACAGGTGCAACAAAACATAAAATACCATAAACACAATATAAAATAATCATACAAATGACTGGCTCATCTTGAAAAAGTTTAAACAACTGAGTAGGCCTGTTGGCATGAAAAGGTCTTCAAGAAATATCGGGGGGCAGGGCATGGAAGAATCACTGTTTGCAATGATGTTCCATTTATGAAGCAGGTAACTGGTTATTATTCTACTTGTAATTTCCCCCCCCCCACTTTATCTTGGGCTGATTATGCTATATGCAACTAAAATTAGCTTGTGGGGGTCAGGAGAACCCGCCAGAACAGTGTGTGGAGGGAGGAGTGGGGGAGATGATTTAATCTGGGAAGCAAAAAAGCTTGTGCCGATGGAACAAATGCCAAGGTAAGTACATTGAATTCCTTCCACAGTATATCAGAGAAAAGGGTTCTATCTCAGGGCTGCTGTGATGGTTTTCTATTGATGGAGAGGTTTTTTTAGTAGGGAGAAAATTAAAAACAGAATCCTCTATCTACACCCAGGATTCCATCCATTCTGCTATCTTGCTCTGCTGCATATGTAGATTAGGTTGCAATGAACACCTGAGGGTAATTAAAAATTAGGATCCTTGCAGAAGTCCCATTGGTTTTTATGTCTGCCAGTATTGGGGGATTGTTCTTATTGGGAGGGGGAGAACTAACCTTCAAGCTATAAGCTACATCCCAGGAACAAGTATACTGACCTCTACAATGTCATCATCAAACAATAGCCAAAAGCCATGACTTTTCACAATGGTAATATAATGTCCGCGATTAGGTCCACTAAAAGAAAAGAAACACCATTAAATTAAAAAAAAGAATAAGGACACAACTGAGTCAACCTTCTAGACATAAAAGTTGCATTCCCTGCAACTATAATTCTCCCCTCCAGGGTATAGTCTATAAAATGTTAAGGCTTGAAGAGGCGAATTCCATCTTCTCTCACATCCAATTTATTTTCCATCTCTGTTTCAACTGATACCTTAACATTATGATTTTCAATCAAGGTAGTTCATATGTGCTTGTTATGCCATTTGGATAATAATAATAATAATTTAATTTACAAGCTTATATACACCAGAATACCTAGGTAGTACCCCAAATGTGTAGAAACCACATTTTTGGGTGCAGAAACCCTTATTTTTAGGTGGCCCTGTTCTGCTTCCAAACTGACAGGCACTCCTGAATACTAAAGGCAGTGCTTTTTTCTGGGGGTACGCATACCCCTAAACATTGTGTGAATCTAAGTTTGGCCTCATTGAGGGGCAGTATTTCAAAATCAGTAGGAAAATGAGAGTACTGCTAAACATTTTTTTTAGAAAAAAAGCACTGACTAAAGGAAATTATACTGCTTCTTCTGCACAGGATTTATTTTCTTTAATGAAGCATCAATCTTAACAGACTCTAGGGTTGTGTGCCCATCTCACTTAAGAGGCCGGGGGCCAGCGCTGTCCGGAGACACTTCCAGGTCACGTGGCCAGTGTGACAAAGCTGCATCTGGCAAGCCAGCGCAGTACACGGAAACGCCGTTTACCTTCCCGCCAGTAAGCGGTCCCTATTTATCTACTTGCACCCGGGGGTGCTTTCAAACTGCTAGGTTGGCAGGCGCTGGGACCAAGCAACGGGAGCGCACCCCGCCGTGGGGATTCGAACCGCCGACCTTTTGATCGGCAAGCCCTAGGCGCTGAGGCTTTTACCCACAGCGCCACCCGCGTCCCATGATGGGATGTCATGATACGTGCCCTCTAATAATGCTGAAGGGAGAACATTAAATGCTAGAAAATGCTCAGCGGTCCAGTGCACTTAAATCATTTGCTGGATAGGATCTTTGGGGTTAGCGTAAGAGTTTATAACTGAAGTAGAGTACTCGAGAGCCAGTGTGGTGTAGTGGTTAAGAGCAGTAGTCTCGTAATCTGGGGAACCGGGTTCGTGTCTCTGCTCCTCCACATGCAGCTGTTGGGGGACCTTGGGCCAGTCACACTTCTTTGAAGTCTCTCAGCCCCACTCACCTCACAGTTTGTTTGTTGTGGGGGAGGAAGGGAAAGGAGATTGTTAGCCGCTTTGAGACTCCTGAAGGGAAGTGAAAGGCGGGGTATCAAATCCAAACTCTTCTTCTAGAATGCTGCTTACCTGCCACAATGCACTACTACAGCCACCAAGTCATACATGCGATCCAAGTTGATAGCATCCCCGGATGTGTTGAAGAGACGCAGCTCAAGAGGAAATACCACGCGGTAAGAGAGCTTGGTATACCGATGTAACTGCTCCATATATTTAAATCTCTTCAGGTGCAATGCAAGGATCATTGGCAGCTTTTTGACCCTCATCCTATGAAGTCAAAATAATATCACTGGATAAGAACAGAACCTGTGCAGGTTTTTGTTGTTGTTTTTTCCTCCAAAGGGGAAAAAGCAACCAGAAATTATTTGTTATAAAAGCTATTTTTAAAAACAAACAACACAACTGTGTAATACTTTAAATACACACAAAAGGAAGTCCATGATATCCATAATAAAAATGTAAAATTAATAAGTGCCCATTCTATTTATAAACAGGTCTATGTTCCCACACAGGCACACCTCTGTTATTGTTTTTTGCAGAACTGAAAGCAGGAAGAATTCGTTTTATTTCAACCACTGCTTTAAAATTTATACTAGCCTCCCTGGGACCAGGCCACAAGGTGCTTTGCTTACCTTTTCTGTGCCTCTTGTTTGCTGCAGCAAGTCTCACAGTAGTACTTTTGTTCGCTGCACAATGTTTCTGTGTTGCTGAAGTCTCTGAAAAATCAACGGAGGGAACAGTGCTCACAGTTTCATACTTCTCATCCCAAATGCCCCCTGAGCTGGTTGCTAAATATTGTACAGTTGCTTGACTGTAACTCAAACACAGTGGTCAGAGAGAATATACTCGCAGGATCGCCTTACTTGGGAACTCTTAAGGGCGCTGATAGTTGTTAGGAGACCCCCTAATCTTCTCACTGAGCTATGATTCTCAGAGTGGTTTAACTCTCAATCCCTCTTTGCAGGGAACTCTGGGAATTATAGTTTTGTGAGGGGAATAGGGGTCTCCCAACATCTCTGAGAACCTGTAACACACTACAGTTCCCAAAATTCTTTGAGGGAAAGCAGGTCTCTTTAAAGTACTGTGGTGCTGCTTTAAATGTATAGTACAGATGGGCACTCATTCTGCTCTTCAAATTTTATTGAAGCGTGGTTTTCAGAGGCATAAGAAATGCTTGTTTTACATTCAACAGATGACAGATTACTTCATTTTGACCTAGCTAAAATAAAACTTCTAATTTCTGGATAAAAGCTAGACATATAAACTATTCTCAGACAGAAATATGCTGGAGGTGTTGGTTTATTCATGGGGCAAATGCTTTTCTAAGAAAGAAAAAAATAGAGAGAGAGGTAAAGCTGACAGAACCAGCTGGCCTTTTCAACTCCTCGTGGAAATAAAAATAATTGATACATAATTTATTGTGTTATTTTATGAATTCCTCTTTTAATGCCAGCACTGATGCCCAGAGGAAAAGAACTATGTTTGGAGGCTTAAACACAAAAGGGCTTTTTCTTTCAACGATAACTAAGAGGAAAGAGAGTTTGCTGTAGTATTAAAGGGAAGCAAGACTAATTGAGCTATTGCCTCTGAAATAGCTCCTGTTTACTTATTTCTCTTTCCTGCTCAACACTGTTTATACAATTAAGGTCAAACAATGCAGTTTCTGTTCTCAAACATGGCAATTATAATTTCCAAAATACACTTGGGAAACCTGCCAGCTAAAGGTTCATTTCCATTGCACATGCGGGCAGACATGATTTGAAGTCACTGTATGTGAAGAGCTTGTACTCTTACAAGGGGTTAACTACAGTGAGTCCAAAATCTTAATACAGTGGTACCTCGAGTTACAAACGCCTCAGGTTACAAACTCCGCTAACCTGGAAGAGTTACCTCGAGTTGAGAACTTTGCCCCAAGATGAGAATGGAAATCGTGCGCCGGCAGCACAGCAGCAGCAAGAGGCCCCATTAGCAAAAGCATGCCTCTAGTTAAGAACAGTTTCAGGTTAAGAACACACCTTTAGCTAATGGGGCCTCCTGCTGCTGCCGCGCCGCCAGAGCACGATTTCTGTTCTCATCCTGAAGCAAAGTTCTTAACCCGAGGTACTATTTCTGGGTTAGCGGAGTCTGTAACCTGAAGTGTATGTAACCCGAGGTACCACTGTATTAGCTTTGAGGTTTTTGACTCTTGTAGATTTTTTATATATTCATGATTGGTAAAAAGAAATAAAATATACATTTTGGATTTTTTTTAATGTTTCAAATATTTTATTTTCATTCATAGTGTTTTGCAACTTTGGTGTTGCAAACTTTGGGAAGAAGGACAAGAGGGAAATTTAAGAAGTAAACAAATGCCAGTAGCATTCACAAAGGTTATAAAATGATGCCATGCACTTTCCCGACCAAGCACAAGGGAAGTCCCACATAGAGTGCATTACAGTAGTCCAGTCCAGTAGTCCAGTCCTGAAGTACTCTTCTGAAAATGCTTACACTTTGATGAGTTTCCAGGATAAGGAAGACAAACAACTATGGAAATGGTACTGAGAGTGCTTCTCTACATCCAGATTCCCACACAAAAATGGGACAACCAAGAACAGAATGTATGACCCACTAAGCCAGGGGTGGAGAGCCTCAGATCCAGAGGCCAAATTCAGGTCTCCATGCATCCCATATGACTTTCCTCAGGCCACAGCCCCCCTTCAGCCACACCCTCCGCCACTCCTGGTGGACCTTCCTGCAGCCAATCAGAAGCCACAATTTGGTTTTCAAATGTTTTGGAAGTTGAACAGACTTCTGGAATGGATTCCGTTTGACTTCCAAGGTACGACTGTATAAGCATTTGGGATAGAACTTGCGTCTCATGATGGGAAGCAGAAGAGAATGTGATCCCTTAGGTAAGAGCTATGTTTTCATGAAGTCCATACTCATGCAGTCACCTGCCTAAAGAGCTGAAGCAATAAACCTGAGAGAGAATGCGTCTCTGTGTGTGTACACATGCACAGGCAGGCAAAGGGGGATTTTTGACTTCCAAGTACTGCTAAGTCTTGGACCCAACTGATAACAAGGCTCAAGCAGGTTCTGAACTCAGAAAGATGTGTTAAATTGCACTCTTAGTTCAGTATAACTCTGGTAAATCTAAATTCAAAGTTGTATTTAATTCAGTGGGACCTAATGGATGCTTAACAACTTCTTTCAGATTAACTGCTGTGATAAATAAAGTTTTCTAATACTTGGGATAAATGCTCCATATTATTCATCAGTAAGCCCTTTGATTGACAGGTGGTAGATTACTTTCCCAGGAAGTACATGTTATGCATGCATGCACACCATTCTCAAGCTATTTGCTCCAGAGTAAATCTGCTGCCTTCAGTGGAACCTCCCTGGAGTAAGCAATCGAAAGATTGAAAAGCTGTAGTTTCTTCCTGAATATTCAATTGCAGCAGGATTGATTTATATTCCTACCTTCCCAAAAAAGTTCCATTTATAGTTCTTGATTTGATTTATGCCATATCATACCGTAACTCTCATGCTGCTCTTCCTTTCAAATCCCACTAATCTAAAATGATCAGACAGCAAAAACCTGCTCCCACTTTTTTTCAACACACATTTCTGCAGCCACTCATTTACCTTAAGCAATGAGTAATCGATGTGTTCTGTTCCACATCAACAGAGAGATCGAGGAAATCTTCATCTTTGCTGCTAACCTGCAACAAAAATAGGAGGCAATAATATTTCTGAGCACTGCACAACCAACAGCTTGATCCTAAGACTAGCTGCACCAGCAAAGCAAATGCCTACCATTATGTCAGCACAACATCAAAACCTAGAAGAAGGTGCCAACATTGCAGAAAGAATTAAGCAGTGGGGCAGATGAGTACACCAAAACAAGTTATTAAAAAGTTTAGGTCCAAGTTGTGGAGCTGAATGGTCCTGTCTTTGAAAGCAGTTTGGGAAAAGGAGGCATATTAATCTCTTGCAGCTCTATGATGGGATACCTAAGCATGGTTTGTCTTCTGTAACTATGCTTACAAAAATGCCTCCACCATAGTTAAGGACTAGACACAAACCAGGACATGAAACTGTGATTTGAGGGTGTGTGGTTTTTTTGCCAACTAAGGTTTGTTTTAGCATAATTGTTACACCTGTATTGAGTATAGCATTCCCCCTTCCTCTCCAGCCTTCCTGCAGAGCCCAGACAGTGTACTGAACTTCATATTTTGAGAGGCAGTCTATAGCAGGTTCTGCCAACCTGGTGCTCTCCTGCGGTTTCGGACTACAACCTCCATCGACCCTAGGCTGCTCCCAAAGGCTTTTCTATACGATGTTGGCCACAGGTAATGAACTATTGCAAAGATAAGCACCAGCACCTTGCAATGAGCAGCAGAAGCCTGCAATATCAGTTGCATATGACCTTACTTCCCTTTGCCTGTCAGGAGAGCAAACATTCTGTAGCAATTGCAGCTTCAGAGTTGTCTTCAAAGTTGCTCTCCGTGGTGCTCCCCAGTAAGGGGCAGTGCAATAATCAGTCCTATAAGTTATAAAACCACAATGAAATCCCCCTTCTCTGAAAAGAGGAGTCTGCATAAACTCCAGCACTGCTGCTACGTGCTTATCCAGGAAAGGGCCAAGAATACCCTCTAACTCTGGACCTGCTGAGGTAGAGAAATTCCTACCGGACCTCTCACAACCAATGCTCCAAAGACCCTTTCCAATACACTGGGGCTTCCTACCAGCCTCACCTCCATATAATTGGCCAAAGCTATGGCTGTTTTAAAATTCTCTCTCTTCAATTTCTCTGAGCTGTGAGTACTGTTATAAGTAGATCAGACCTAAATGTGGATCCCTACTCTCTATTGCTTTGATCCAGTTACAGATTCTCTTCCTCATATTGCGAGGTGCTTTAAGAAATGCTTGTGTTTACATAATGTCACTGGCATCAGCAAAACTATAACCACACAAGTTTAGTTGAGTTTTTCTTAAGATTAGGAACTGTAGATACAGGCTCAACTGCTGGGAAGAGATTTGTGGGATGAAAGTTCTTCATTCCAGAGTTTGTCCTGCTGAAACCCATTATATGAGTCACTTTGAACATGGGTATGAGAATACAATCCCTTTTGGACGTTTGCTTATACTGCTGCCACTAGACCCATTTCCCCCTGTTTGAAGGGGAGAAATAGACTGCTTCAAACAACAAACATTACTTGTTACACACAGCAGAAATAATACCTTGTAACTACTTTATATTGAAAGAATAAAATAAGGATATTTGCTTATTTCAAGAAACTGGTTATGGCAAAATCTCATAAATACAGTAATTATGTGTTGACACATGGAATCTAGATCCAGGGTTCTCTCTTTCTCACCTAGTACCCTTTAGCACAGCATGCAACTTAATCCAAAAAAGCTAAACTGTGCAAAGAAGCATATATCAATCTTAGTCAAGATTTACCTTGCCCCAAATCTGACAATGACAATTCAGATGACAAGTCATATTTCTGACTGTTTTTCAGGTTGAGGGGTAAGCTAGTCAACCTGGAAAAAATGGCTGCTATCAAGCTCCACCTAAGAGGCCCAGATCCATCCAAATCCCAACTCTCATGTGAACCTCCCTGCCTCCTCAATCACACATTCTGTTTCTCACCCTATTTCTAAGATATGAATAAGAGTGATGACTTCACAGGGATGCCGCAACAGTGAATATAAAAAAAGGCCGCAATGTCCTTTGACTTGCACACTGTTACATAAATGGTCCTAATATGCCCTCATCAGAAAGTTGAAGCACAAAACCGCACGAGACGATATTAGCGGTGCAATTATAAGAGATTGTCTTCATCTAATCCACTAATGGCCAAACTGTTTTCCAGGGCACACTAGTGTGTGATGACAGGCCTGCTACTGATCGAGGAAAAAATTAATTAATTCCATCATTAGGGGCTCCAGGGAATCTGAACTACTCACTCAAAGTACCTACTCAACGCCTTACTGCATGAGTCACTGATTCAGCAGGACTTTAGCCTAGTTGGATAATTCTGGCTTGCTATCTGAGGAAGGCACAAACAGGGCAGGACTTGAGGGCAAACGTTCAAGGACCACTCCACAGAATGAGCAGGGCGGCCCAGCAAACACAGCAGTGCCGGCTTACTGTATTTTGAAGTAATGCGCATTACCATCTACAAGATTATCTAAGCCAAGACAATTAAGTCTAAAATTATCTAACCAGACCACTGCCTCTGGGACACAGAAGGGTGCCTTCCATTGTGGAATGCAAGGGGGCAGATGTGGGGTTCCCTCCCATGTACCTTCAAGAGCACACCCTGGGCTCTGTCTGTGCCCAAGTCTGGGAGGCACATCTAGCACAGTGGCTGTCACAGAGGTGGGCTCTTTCGAGCTCTGGTAAGTCTTTCCAAGGGCCAAGCTTGTTCTGCTGGAACTCTGCATTTAGAGTGTCCAACCGTGGTTCTCTCTCTTCACACACCCCAACTTGGATTGGGGCTCCAATGCTGGAGAAATGGGTCTAATCCTTGCCCCACCCTGCAGCACGGCCTTGATCCAGACGGCCCCCACCAAATTTTCATTAGTGACAGAAGTGAAATCCCAGAGCCTTAACAATGTAACAGCAGTTTGTGTGATGAGGTCATCTGGATTGGTGCATTAACGTTAGACCACGGTTTCCCAAACTTGAGTCTCCAGCTGATTTTGGGCTACAATTCCCATCATCCCTTACTACTGGTCCTGATAGCTAGGGATGATGGGAGTTGTGGTCCAAAAACAGCTGGAGAGCCAAGTTTGGGAAACCCTGATTAGACCCTCTCCTCACCAGAATGCAATCCTGTTCAGTTCTCACCCCCATGGGAAGAAAATTGGGAACTCCAAACTAGAGTACCAACCTAAGAACATAGATTGGCCCATGCCAACTGAGGTTTGAGAGTGATGTGTGCCTCCAATTCAGTTTCAGGAAAAAGGGGAAATCAGAAGTTTGGAGAAGGGTAACCTCATTCTTATTTTGCCACAAGTAATTCCTGGAGCTGCTCCAAACTCAAATTAACCTCAGTGGAGGCATGTACACATTTACAATACCTTAAGATGCAATATGTCACACGTGGAGCTCTCTTATGGGGAAGGACCAAAGCTTACATGTAGATCATCTGCTCTGCATGCAGAAGTCCCAGGTTCAAAACCTGACACCCCCAGTGAGAGCTGGGAAAGAATCCTGACTGAAATCCTGCACAACCACTGCCATTCAGTGCAGAATATTGAACTAGATGGTCTGACTCAGTATAATGCAGCTTCCCATATTTGTATGCAAAGAGACAAGGTTGGGGAATAATTTGTCCTTGTCTTAGGAAGGTTCAAGTTATCCAAAGCCCCAAATAAATATACATAGACAATAGCTGCTTTACTCCATAGAAACACTCATATTTCTTGAACGGCTTCATAAAGCGACATATTTAGCTCTACAAGCTGCTATAAAGTAATCTAACTATTTTCAGGAAACCACCAACAAGCCCAGTGCTTACAGTTTCACAGTTCAAGCATCTCGTTTCATTAGTCAGCGTTCCCTGAAAAATCTCATGCACCCAGGTGAGTTCTTGCTTGTTGTTCTCTTCCGCTTCGTTCATGTTGCCGTTTTTCAGTTTGCCATTTTGCTTTTCCTGCTTCTTCTCCTCTTGCAGAATGTCGGCGACGGTATTCAGTAAGTAGTTTAAAAACTCATGGGCGTCTTGTTGCATGTAGTTGTCAAAGAGATCTGTAGAAAAAACAGGAGGAAGGCATATACAGTGCTACCTCGGGTTAAGTACTTAATTCGTTCTGGAGGTCTGTACTTAACCAGAAACTGTTCTTAACCTGAAGCACCACTTTAGCTAATGGGGCCTCCTGCTGCCGCCGTGCCGCGGGAGCACAATTTCTGTTCTCAACCTGAAGCAAAGTTCTTAACCTGAAGACTATTTCTGGGTTAGCAGAGTCGGTAGCCTGAAGCGTATGTAACCCGAGGTACCACTGTATTTAAGCAGCAGCTCCTCCCCACAGCCTGAGAGCACAGTCCACACAGGGCTGTCTTCACTTGCTTGCCCACATGTGTGGTCCATGCAGCCACAAGGGCATCTGATTGCTCACCTGTCATTTCCCTTGGTGGTGGTTTCTGCCTCTGCCCCCTCACTCACCTTCTGGTGTGACAGGGAGAATCTGGGCCCAGCAAGACTGCCCAGAGAGAGCACAAAAGCAAGCAAGGAGGAACCCTTGAAGGAGTAGCCACCTCACCCTCTGAATTGCATCTCTCCCTCTTTCTCTGAGCAGTGCAGCAAGGAAGATTGAGCGGCCACATTGCCCAGAGAGAACTACAGTACGGCCGCACCTTGGTTTTCAAACAGCCTCGTTCTCGAACGTTTTGGCTCCCAAACGTCACAAACCCGGAAGTGACTGTTCCAGTTTGTGAACTATTTTTGGAAGCCAAACATCCGACGGGGCTCCCAATTGACTGCAGGAGCTTCCTGCAGCCAATCGGAAGCCGTGCTTTGGTTTCCGAAGGCTTTGATAATCAAACGGACTTCCAGAATGGATTCCGTTTGACTTCCAAGGTACGACTGTTCTAACTTCTGCCTCTGTCCTCAACAGGGAAGGACTGAGCCTCACGGGGGCTGCTACTGTCTCTACTCCCTTCTCTGACCTCTGTCTCGAGGCGACGCAGAGGACTGGACAGCAGAACTGACCAGAAAGCATAGGCATATCTGAGAGGACACCCACTCCTCCCTCCTCTCCTCTCTCGGCAGCCTTCCAGAATGGTTTGGGATCAGGGCTGTAGTCTGAAAGGATGTGCGAGTCTATACTTGCCATTCTCCTTTCGTAACCTCGAGATGAACTTTTTGGGTGGAATCACTCCAACTTTCTTCTTCTGCGTGGCAATACTGTGGAAAAGGTCTGCAAGGCAAGTCAGGAGGTTTTCCTTCTTTTTCTGCTGGGCCTTGTAGGACAGCACATTTTCCCGAAAGGGCCGGCAGAAATACAGGGCTTGCAGGACGGAGTTGCAGTAGCACGTGTTTCCAAACTGCAAAATAAAAGTGGAGACAGGAGAGAGCGGACCATGAAGTGCAGCTTAGTGCAACACCCAATATCCTATCTCCCTTGCCTCTGTATTTTCTCCTCTCGGGAGAAGAGGAGAAATCTATAACTGTAGATTGAATGTAGGTCAACGGGTCTGTATGTGGAGCTTCAAAGTATTACTCTTTAGCTAGGAATAAAAAATATGTAATGCTAAAACAGGCTTCTTCAGTTTTGTTCTGGTGTCAGGCGTAACATGATTTTAAAAACAGTAGGCCCCTTCAGACTTGGTGCTTTTTTGTAAGTCCGCAACTTATGCAGGGGTTACACTCAGTGGGTTGTGCCTAAAGCCAAAATCATGTACAGTAAAAACCTATTAGGTTCAATGACAGGCGGGACTGCCAAACTCAATTTTCCTGGAATGTTGTTGTTGTTGTTAGAATATAAAAAATAGGATAAAACATCAAACATTAAAAACTTCCCTAAACAGGGCTGCCTTCAGATGTCTTCTAAAAGTCAGATAGTTGTTTTCCTTGACATCTGATGGGAGGGCGTTCCACAGGGCAGGCGCCACTACCAAGAAGGCCCTGCTGGGTTCCGTGTAACCTCACTTCTTGCAGGGAGGGAACTGCCAGAAGGCCATCGGAGCCCCACGCCCTTTCTGCTATCATCATCATCATTATTATTAGCCATGCACATAAAGCTGAATGTGCACAAGTTAAATGCATGTAAGTTGCAGGCTTTCTGTATTCTGCAACACATAATTGATGGAGTAATAGTGCATTAGTGCCAGGTTTTTACTGGACCATCCACACATCATTCTGCTTCATAGTTGTTTTGCAATGCTCTTCCAGTATTACTGTATTACTGTATTTCACTATTTTTCATTATAGCACAACGGGTCACCCACTTGGAACACTTGTGGAATAAAATGTTAGAGGGTTTCAGCAGGAAGCTACAGGACACGCACTGACTGGAAATGAAGTGGGACGTCCATTCCAATGTTTTTCCAGGTGCAAACAGTATTGAAAGTACCATTGCATTAAACTGTCCCATTTCCATCACAAGCATAAATAAAGGACTAATAAAAGTCACACCTGGAGGGGACCAGTGTTACTATTCTAGAAGTTCCCAAAATCGGTATTCAAAGCACTCATCAAAATAACTTTTGTCGGTGACCCAGAGAGCCCTTTACCATGCATGACCTACACCTGAATATATATATGTATTTTAAAAACCTATTATGATAAGGCATAAATGCATGCTTTACATGCAGAACTCGCTTCCTTCTTCAAAACAGGGTGGCTGGACCTTTACATATTCTACTTTACTTAAAGTATGGTCAACATGGTAAAAGTGGGCTAGTTCGGATGATGTACTGGCTCAACACACAGAGAGGCACATGTCGTTTTTCTTTCCTGCGCACCTGGCATACTATCCATACCTGTGCGCTTGGGGGCAGATCATCTGATCAGTGACCACAAATCAGGGGGAATCACGTGAAAGAACGTCCTGATCTATTGTACACAGAACACATGGATGCACCTGCCCACACCTGTGTCCTATCCTGACCTCAAGCAGAAGCCCACGGGCCAGAATATAGTCCACAACGCAGTGTAGAATTACTGACCACTGGAAAACTTCAAGTGAGCAACTTACTCTCAACAAGTGTAAAGCTGGATGGAGGACTTTTATCCTTCTTGGAGAATATTACACTTTGCATGTTCTGCCCCTTCCTGGTAGTGTGGAAGGCCTTAAAGGGGCAGTCATTTGGCCTGGAGTGAGCACTCCACCCCATCACCAAGTTCATTGCCTGCCAGACATGGGAGTGGAGGTCTTTGGGGTCAAGGACACCAGTTCCTCAGAAAGTTTAGGCTTAGTTGTTGCTGTCTCCAGAAATCCCAGGGGTCCCTAGCTGACAGGCTCTGGCTGAGACCAAACTGTGATATTAGGGTCTGGGCTGGTATGTTGACTCAAGGTCTGTACTGCTGCTCTGGGTAAGGTTCATGACAACAACCAAACTGCATTTGATTGATAGGATTTATAAACTGCCCTTCCTCTCTAAGGAGCCCAAAGCAGCAAACATATCCACATTATTAAAAAAAAAAATTCCAAAAGCAGTTAAAACATTCTAAAATTACAAATAAATACAAATTTTCATCCAGTGATGTCAGGGTTGCTGGGGAAAGTATTCTGCAGCCACCAAATGCCTAGGCTAGCAAGAAGGTTTCAGATTCCTCCTGAAAGCTAATAATGATGCAGACAGTTGCACCTCACTAAGGAGGGCATCCCACAAATGAGGAACCACCACTGAAAAGGCCCTGTCACAAGTCACCACCACCAACCAGGCAGCCCCAGGCATGGAGAATGTACCATTCACACCAGGGTGCACCCAGATTGCCTTTAGACCTACTGAATTAGTCAATCTGGTCCAACAGTGCTCCTTTTATGCTCTTCTCCTGATGTTCCACCAGTGCTGCAGAAGCTACATATTCTCTCGACCTATCCTCCCATAGCCCTTTCCACTGCTGTGGGGCAACATGGGAGTCTAACCCAGCAGGTGGGGTGGTGGAGGGAGGTGTAGCAAAATGGAGGAGCTAGAGGTGTAACAAAATGGAGGACACATCTCCACCTCTAGGCAGTACTCCAAGGTGCGACAGGGCAAGTCATAAAATATGTTTTCAGAAACTGACACCACAGCAGTAATACTTACATTGACCAGTCCAAAGTAGTGTTCATTGATTGGAAATTGCTCTGGCCCAATGTCTTTTTCCAGAGCAGAGGCATTGGTGCCCTAGAGAAAAGGAAACAGCCAGTTATTTTAGTTCCAGGTTAAAATATGACACAAGACTGAGAAATATCCTGAAAGGTTAGGTCACTTCCTGCTGCCCTCCCCCAAAGCTGTGCCAAATGGATTGTCTGGAGTGTTTTAGACATTTCTGAATAGTTACGGCCCAAACGCTGCTCAGCCAATGACATGAGGCTGCCATGAACTCTGTGAAAACCCAACATCCCATTGAAAATGCTTGTTAAGAGAAAAGGGCTGTTATCCAGCATGCCAAGAAGCATATGCAAGCCCCATTGATTTTAAATTGGAAACAGAGCACAGGATCCATTCTTTCCAACACATGACATGGGAATGGATTGCCAACGAAATCTCTCACTCCACATCCATTAACCTGTCATCATCTGGTTCCCAGACAGAGCAATATACAAAAATAAACAGGCCCTCCCCAGGGCTTTTTTTGATGTTATTTGATTTTATCCATCTCTGCAATCTAATCTAACATTTCCTTATCAGCCCTTCTATTTGCCTGATTTGCAGGGGTTGGGAGAGAGGAACCAGAGCAATGTTTTCTCTCTCGCTTGGATGAATGCAAGCGACTCTGATTTTTCCCCAGCAAAATAAATGCTTTCAGAGAGCTGGAACGGCTGAATGAAAATCAGAAGAGATAATTGCGGAGAGCTTGTAGGCTTGAAATGTAAATCAACTTGCTTGCAGTTGGCAGCCAGTAATAAAAGTCATAAGCATTTGGGTTTGATTCTTTTTTTAAAGTTTCATGTGCCGGAACACTTTCCCTATTTTTGAACCTTAGGCTGCAGATGTTTTTGCATATCCCATCCCAGCCGTTCCCACTGAGAACAAAGGGCTGTATTGAATTTCCTCAGGCACACAGAACACCTCAGTTCCCCAAGACACCTGAGCCTTTCCTGAAGAGGGCAAAGGAAAAGCAGACAATGCACTGTGGGTGACTCCAGTTGCCCAGGAGCTGAGCTACTATGAATCTGTATTTCAAATTATATCATTTGCATCCCAGGGAGGATCAGGCAAAAGGATTTTTTTTTATCCAACCCATCCATCATGCTGCCATCAGCCCTGAAAAAGGAAAAGCATTCCCAGAGTCCAGTTGACCTAACTTTCCATTGCTGCAAAGTGTACCAGGATTACTGATTTTGAAAGTGTTTATGTATGACACAAAACTACGGGAGGGAAGAGATTATATCGCCTTTCCTAAACACACCATGGTCAGGCAACCTGGCAGCTTAAAGAATAAAGGACATGCATATAGAACGCTTATACCCATTTAGGATTGCATGTAGTTTGATCTCTATACATAGGGATGGTCCTGAAGACTTCAGAAGGAGAAATCCGTAACTCAGGTGAGAAGCAACAAAACTTAATACAAAATTGTATTTGTCATTTTGCAGCAGCTGTACTGGCCTCTTGGTTATTTCTTGCACCAAATTTATGTTGTTGTCGGTACCCTATAAAGTTCTTTGTGGTCTAGATTCCTGTGTCCCTTACCAAGTGTCTATCAGCACTGGAAATGTTTCTTTTTATGCAAGAGGGCCTGAAAGTATAGGATGCTTCGTGCACAGGCCTTGTGGCCGCTTTGTGTATGACTGGTTTCACTAGCTTGTAAACCATCTGACAGATTTATGTCTTAAAATAAACCATTTCACAGAGACCCTCTTCTCTCACTGATGTCATTTGCTAACTTGCTAAATACAAAGATGTAGGTCAGGTCCTTTTCTCCCACTTTTGTGATCTCTCTTACAATTGTGAGTGGCTGCTTTTCTTCCCCTGCAGCTACTTGTCATTCTATTCCCCTGTTGAGGTTTACATTGTCAGTTTCTATTTGCGAAGTTTTCATATTCTCTTTCTCTCTGTCGCTCTGTCTCTCTCTCTAACACACACACACACACAAAGTTTGTGTACACATGCCTACACTCATTCTCCAGCAGCTTATTCATTAGTCATGTGTTTTCAAAATTTCTCTCTTTGGCTGATTGACATCCAATGGGCTTTTAAAATTGGTTGGGGAGGGGGGTTATTGGATTGTTTTTGTTTTATTATGTTTTTATTATGTACTTTACAGTGGTACCTCGGGTTACATATGCTTCAGGTTACATACGCTTCAGGTTACAGACTCCGCTAACCCAGAAATAGTGCTTCAGGTTAAGCACTTTGCTTCAGGATGAGAACAGAATTCGTGCTCCGGCAGTGCAGTGGCAGCAGGAGGCCCCATTAGCTAAAGTGGTGCTTCAGGTTAAGAACAGTTTCTGGTTAAGAACGAACCTCTGGAATGAATTAAGTACTTAACCTGAGGTACCACTGTATTATGTAATTTTTTAATATTGTGTTTTTATGTTGTAACTGCCCTGAGACCTGCAGGGCAGGGCAGTATACAAATTTAATAAATAATAATAATAATAATTGCAGTGTAGATGTATAGTGCAAGGAATCAATTTATTTTTTTGCTCCTCTACTGCTTCTGAACAGGCTTGCTATTTCCAGACCTATAGACTGCACCTATAACTCTGTCCTTGGTGCTCAAGTACGTACTGTAGTCCACCCATTCAGTTTCTTTTTCTACAAAAACTAGCATCCTGCTTGCTGCCAAACATGGGATGTTTGAGCAGCTGCTAGGATCTGCCACTGTCAACCCTGTAACTGCAAAATTCTAAAAGTCTGAGGTGTAGTTGCCAGGCTTTTTATACATCCAAAAATCAGGCCATACACTTTTCAAAGACTGGGTTTAAATAATAATAATAATAATAATAATAGTAATAGTAATAGTAATAATAATAATGCCCAGAAGTATACAACACAGAATCACAATCAATGGAAGGATTTATTCAAGTCACAGATTCTCATTGCAGGGATTGACAAGCATTGGAAACAAATTGGCATCACAAGTTGCTATAATGTGTGCAACAGCATCAGGAGCTATTATGACATGTTGAAATTTGGCACCAAACTCAAAACAGATAATTTTAGCTATTGTTCAGAATCCCAGGGAGGAATGAAGTGTGGGAAGAAAAGCCAGATTACTGCAGGTGGAGAAGATTATATATGGCAGCAATCACTCTCTTTCCTTTTCTCTCTCCCTCTCTCTCTTTCTCTCCCTCTGCAGCTGAACTGCAGCAACCGCTTAACTTAAAGAGTCTGAAGCTGCTGAACTGGAAGATTATGAGTGATGCAGAGAAATGTGCTGCAGAGGATTTGGGAAACAAGTGACAACACATCACAAGAACATCAGAAAAGCCCTGCGGGATCATAGAATTGCAGAGTTGGACGGGACCCCGAGGGTAATCTAATCCAACCCCAAAAAGCACATCTAGTCCAGAACCCCACAGTGGCCAACAGGGCAATAGCTCTCTCCCACTGTTGCTCCCAGTTGTTCCCACCAGCTGGTAACCAGTGGCATGCAGCCTCCAAACTCAAAGGTTCCATATAACTATCATGGAGGGCCAACCCTACCATTAGGCAGAATAAGGTGGTTGCCTCAGGTGGCAGATTCTGGAAGGCAGAGGACAGTGATAGGATTTTGGAAGGTAGAGCAGGCCTGCCCTTTGTCCCCTAAGCTGACCTACCGTCCTCAGGTGCAGTGGAAGACACTGGTGCATTGCTTTTATCAAACTTAGACTGCATGCACACCATACATTTAAAATGTTCCCTACCCACACACACACACAAAATCCTAGGAACTGTAGTTTAAGGGTGCTAGGATCTCTGAGGGGTAAACTACAGTTTCCAGGATTTGTGGTGTGTGCTTTAAATGGATGGTGTCTACACATTGTCTCTCAAGACAGATGGATGCCAACAGCACACCCTAAAATTCAATTGTCAGACTGATGCGTTTCTGCACATAGAATGAGCAGGGACAGAACCATGTCCTCCACTTCAGACGTCATCAACATGCAAGGGATCACTCTTGCCATCATGACTAGAAACCGTGGAAAGAGATTCCACAATTGCCACCCAACTGCTTATTGGTTTTCCTTCTAGAAAGTTTGCAGACAAAGCTTATGCGAGTTTGGACTAACCTACACTGGTCAATTAGTCCAAACTCACATAAGCTTTGTCTGCAAACTTTTCAGAAGGAACCGTGCGCTGCTCTGGTTCGCCAGAAGTGGCTTAGTCATGCTCGCCACATGACCTGAAAGCTGTACGCCGGCTCCCTCGGCCGATAAAGCGAGATGAGTGCCGCAACCCCAGAGTCCGTCACGACTGGACCAAATGGTCAGGGGTCCCTTTACCTTTACACTGGTCAATTAAAACATTAAAATGTGTTATAAAAGTGTGACACCAGAGGGTGCTGTAGAGAAATTGCATTGAGAGTTATATTATGTGGGGGGTTTTAGCATTGTTGCCTTTCAAATCAGTGTATATCCTTTGAGAATGTGAACAAACACATAACGCACAGGAAATCTATTGCTCCAGCTGCTGCCCCACATATCACTGATATTGTTCTGGAAAGTCAGGGCTAGCCCCGTCTACCTGGCGAAACTGGAATACTTGTCACAAGAAGCAAGTCCTTAGTGGATGGAGTCCCACAACCAACAACCACGAGACAAGCAAAAACTGGAAAAGGGAGCAGCTAGCAACACAGCAAGATATAAAAAGAGGAACAGCGCCTATGAAAGAGTGAAACTCATCAAGGAGCACTGAAGGACCACAGATAAAAGGAGGGAGCAGAACTCCCGTCAGGCTGTGAGATGGAAGTGACACATGTTGAAATCCTCCTTCAATATAACAAACCCCTCTGCCAAAACCAGTCACTGTTCTTCTAGCATTCTCAAGGAGCCCATATAAACGGAACTACACCAAACGCACAAAACTAAAATTGAACTTTGCCACACCCTCATTGTGGCCAATTTCCATAGCATGCTGGTCAGAGCTCTAGCATGCTAACTCTTCCTTAAGCTGGAAGGATTTTCATGGAGTTATCACTTGATCTAGCCACAGGATTCAAAGATATCAAAAGTAAATACAACTAAGTTTGAGGA